TTACAGGCCTTTATTCTTCCTCATAGTTGAAATTACTTCGAGCAATCATTCTGAAAGTGGAGGCCATCTGGTTTTACAAGCCCTTTTTGATAAGTCGGCTTTTGATTTAAATAATGTACGCCGATGTTCAACTTTGGCAAGACTGTCCCTCTTCTTGCCAATATGCCACTTGGTATGCGGAGATTCCAATACATTTGAACTTAACTAAGCGGTTATTGATCCTGATAGAATTTTTGAAGAGACCTCATCCGTTCTAATGGTGAAAAATCACATCTTTATAATAATCATGCCAATGCACATCCTGAGAATGTGGTTGCAATTGCCAATGCTAAATCAAATTTCCTATCATATGTGCCAACAGCGACCAATTCTTCAGTTCCATCCTTAGTTTCTGCCACCACGTCAGCCGGCTTATTCTTCTGATCCTGTTTCATTATCAATTCTACATCAAGTGAACTTCTTACCAGAACTCTTACACCTACTCAGTTTAAAAGTCTTTCTAAAAACAGGAATCGCAGGAATGTTTCGAATGCTGATTCTATTGCTCCTGGTAAATCATCCTAAAGCTTAATAAGTGTTTTGAGTTATTGTATGTCATGATAGGCTAATTAGAAATGCAAGTTTATACGTCTTCGTGGAATTTCAATTACGATTGATTTTAGCCCTTTTTCGCTAGTTGGTCGAAGCCACAGGAAGACCTTGTAGAATTTAACTAGTACTGAATCATCTCCCATATTATTAATGATAATTTCCAGCAATTCACAAGTGGAAATTATCATGAAGACTATGGCAAATGACACAGGACTAGATACGTTCCACAAAATCCCATTGTCGCTCGAAAATGATTTGTAAAATTGGGTGAAATTCACTTTAAGGATGAATGTTTTATGGCTTTCCAACCATAAGAAAGATAAAAAGTTAGAAGTTAAACTGACTCGCAGAGGCAAACGAATTTTAATCATTTTATGAAAACAGTGATATATACCGCCTAAATGAAATCTAATATGCAAGCATTTATCCATGAGCAATGCACGAAGGAAATAAAATTTCTTTAATAGAAAAACAGTACTAAGAAGTACATTCGTTGATAGAAGACCAGAATGAGGGACCTTAGGTTTAGTCTTAGTCTCGTTTATATGCAATAGCGTTTATTTAATGTCGTTTTTGCAACTTAATCGTACTGACCGCATAACGCATCTAGTCCTGCGTACCTTACAATAGCATTCATCATAATTTTCAGCAATTCCCAATCGGTTACGCACTAAGTCACTGGTCCGATGCGGTAAATTAGCATGAATTCCATGGCAAAGGAAACAAAACTAGGTAAGCCCCACAACCTGTTTGCATGATTAAGTTGCGAAAATGAGATCAAAAACGCTATTACGGATAAAGAAGGCTAAGACCAAGCTTAAGACCCCCAATCCCGGTATAAGCGAAAGTTTGTCATGTATAAAATTTAATTATAACGAAAACGAAAACTTATTCTTAAGACATGTATCGATTAACGCCGATATGACTAAACGCGAACAAATTATATTTAATTTGCTTACCCAATTTTTCTTTTGACTACCTGTATTATTTTGGCATGAATCTCGATGACAAGATAAAGAGAAACGCTAAAGATCCAGAGCCTATTTATTAACTGGAACCTACTCTAATTGCAAAAACCAGAACACTACTAAACTATATGATATATGCAGCTATCTCCGCTTCAAGACAAATTAATCAAAGCATCTAAAGTTAGGTAGCAAAGCCCGGTCAAAGAAGATAATTATTAGATTGCTTGCTAGGGACGACATTTTTTGAAGTTTATAAATCAGCCTACAAGTAAAAGCATACTTTTAACTATTTTAAATTTAACTGAGGCTGTTTGGCGAAGGCATGAAAATGATAATCTAGGTCGTCCAAACAACACGACGAAGTAGCGAAAACTAGACCAAGCCACTTCTTAATCCTTCTTTTATGATGCCTTTCAATGACAAATTCATTGGAAATTTCAACACTAAGTATAAGTTTGGTTTTACCATACATCTAAGTCGCATCGCTTTTCAATTTCTAGCTTATATGATTATACATATTGTGATTTTTGTTTTAGAGCTTACTGATTGTACGTAAAACACTGTTTTATGCTCCGACGATTTATCACATATAGACTAATCTGACCATCAGTGGTTTATTGACAAATCGTCGCAGCTCTAAAGTTCTTCAGTCTCTATTAATGCGAATTTTCGAATACTCTAAAATAATAGTTCGCACTTATCGGATAGATATGTTTATAACTGTTTAGACGCGATTGACTAGAAATTATAAACGAGGTAGCGTTTGAAAAACGGATATAATGGATAAATCAATTGTGAAAATTAAAAATATAACTCAAACTGATCTAAAGAACACACCATAGATATGTTTAAAAAGCTTAAGAAAAATAATGAATGCAGTTTAATGGAAGCAGCGATAAAAATGATATAACTAGATTGACTTGCACTAAGCTGCAATCAAGATACCTACCATTGTGTAGATCAAAAACTACCAAGGAACTGTCAGGAACTTTGTCCTCAGTGATCGAAATGGCCATTTTAGATATATTTTCTCTAGGATGACAGGTTGGTGGCGAGGCACTGATATTTTCACCCGTAGAGGTAGGGAAAGTGTCGCCCGTCCTTGCTGATTCAGCTGGGGAAGTGGTTCCTTGTATATGATCCTGAATTTTGTCACGGAATTCTCGGGCTGGAGATACACTGATATCAATGGACGAATCCAGCTTGTCAGAACAGTTTGTTCCCAAATTATCGTCATTGAGTGCACATTTAAGGGATGATAGTGACAACGACGTTGGTATGACAGGAGGTGATGTTGAACTGCTGGGCTAAATAATAAAAAGCAAAGAATAAATTTATCTAGTAGGTCATTAAATAAAGGCTAATGGAATAATGGCTTTTACAGTTGTATCAGTAACGATAGCAGGAATATTTTCAATAGACGAAACGACCAAAGTGGGTTCAATGGCAGCTCCAGAGTCCTTTTCATGTATAAGCATATTTTCTGACTCTTTATAGGGCTTTGAGTCTACTGTCACATTAATAAGATCAGGATCGATCAGATTAATTTGGTCCTAAAGCAATATAGATAAAAAAGTAAGAACCTTATCGACCTTGAAGTGCTTCGATGTATTGAGCTCGACCAAGCAGACAGGTGGGGAACCGTTAGTTGCGGAAGTTTCGATGTCACCAAATGAAGTAATAGGTCTTTCCGGGCCCAAAGTATTTCCTTTATCCGTGATAGCATCTTTAGCAATTCTGTTTGAATCGAAATGTGACACAAGAGTGGTATCCGACATGAAGGAATAGGCAAATTCAAGTGCTATCTAGCCAGGGAATAAAGATAAAGTAAGGTCACGGGAGTAGAGAGAAGTACGCATAATTCGAATAAACTGCACTGAACGAGCCTCCAGGTCAAGCTTCTAAAGATTCAAACAAAATAAACGGTTAGAACCAAAGACCAACATTACTTGGGATTTCGTAGTTGAATATATTTTAAATAAAGTTGCTAGCTGTAATGTATTCAAAAGTCTATATATAATCCAAAATAGTAGTTTTTAAATAGGCTGCCTAGAGTCGAAGTCATATCACTTTCCAACAAGATTTAAGTATCATTGAAGAAAGGTAATTATTTTATTTAATTAGTATTTTTATTATGTTAGCGCTAAGCAATCACATACTGCCTAATTTCAACGATGGCGATGAAGGACTGATGATCCGTTCGGTCTAACGTTTCCATTGAATTGAACATAAGCCTGGACTACAAAATGAATTCTTATTCAAGGTAGACGGCAGTTTCGACCCTACCTATGTCTCATCAGCATCTCTGACGGGATTCGAACAATGTCAGGGTAGCATATAATATCGACCCGTTAAGCACTAGACCGCACTGCTGTAGTTGTCCTTGGTTCACAGGGCAAATGCTAATTTCAAGGAAGACCAGGTCTTTACTACTATCATATTCAGTGGTAAAATTGCCGATGAAAAAGAGCATTATTTGTTATAGTAGTCGACCACATTACTTATTTTTGAGTATAAATACGTTTTCGAGACTATCAGTAGATCGCATGCATGATGACCTGATTATCAATAAAAAAATAAGTAGTTTAGTCGGTGATATATCCAATATATTTGTGCTTCATCAACAATTTTACAGCAGAATATAAAACGGAAAATATTTTACTCTGAGTGAAACTCCCAAGGGCACCCAAGTGCACTCGTGGTAGTGCGACGAAGGGTTTAGTATGTCGATATTATTGGTTGCACTATTAGAGTTCTAGTCCCGCCTGGGATGCTGGTGGAACCTATACAAGTTAAGAACTGCAATATACTCTGGATGATAATAACCTTTTGAGAAGCATGGCAATGTGAAATTCAATGGAAACTTAAGGCCTACCTATAGCATTTTAGGAAAGTTAAACTATCAGGTCTACAATCTAGATTTGGATATAAATCATATCCTAGAGAAAATCACATTTGGAGCTTGGGTAAGAGGCTATAATACTTATTATACTTAAGAAATTGAATGGCAAGAAAAATAAGCCAGTATACTAAAATCATTAGGACTTATTTAAAATTTTAGAGTAAATTCTGCATACAGAAATAAGAAATATTTTTCATAGCTGTCGTCCGTGAAAAAAGGGCTTGGTAACGAGAGCTACTCGGTGCATATACCTAATAATGATTAGAGATTCTGCAGTGTTAGGATAATTTTTCAACCAGACTTTTGGTGCCTGCTCAATGAGGCAGGACTATACGTGCTAATAAAGGATTGGTGTACAGTGTAGAACGTAACCTTTAGAGTAACATAAATATGGCAGAATTGCTCGACTTTAATCATTAAAACACGGAGATAAGAGACAATTCATACAGTAAAAGAAAACGATTTTGATATGGAGTCAATGAAGATGATTGCTGACCAAAAATGCAGCCCCTAATCAACATTCCTAGCACATAATGTTGTTCCTATGTGTTGTTTACTCGGTTGACGTTATAATCTATGGACTTGATAAAATATCATGTGCTTTAGTTAAAACTAGACTAAAAAATTAAGCAAACCACTCTATATCGATCTATCTAGGTTTTTAATTTTTAATTTTTTGACTCGATTGAGTCTATATAAAAAGTAAGATAGAGTTGGATAGTGTTCTTGCTTTAGTGCTAACGTGAGACTTTTACAAAATGACACCCAGCTCTGATGTTGTCCATCATATGCTGGACGAAATCTCAGCACGTTTTCACCCAAAACAAGGGAGGAAGTCTGGTGGACTGCGTCAGCATGAATATCGTATAAAAGTCAAATTGCTGCAGTACAACGAGTTTCACTCGTCCTTATCTGGTAAGATCGACCACACGAATCTCTTCTTCATGCACTTTATTCGAAACAAAGGTCCCTCTAACAATGTTATCTTAGGAGAATCATCGAAACCAAGTTTCTCTTCGTATCTACAATGTACGTACAGTTTGATTTCTTGTCATTTGTCTTCTCGCTACGCTAAAACCATAAAAACTATCCTGACAAGTTAATAGAATTAGATTTTTTAAATTTCTATTTCTCATAATGTTGTTCCTAAGTATTGTTTACTCAGTATACGTTATAATCTACCGACAGCCACAAATAGATAACTTAATAAAATATCATGTAGTTTAGTTGAAACTAGACTCTAAAGAAAATTAACCAACCATTCTATATCGATCTATAAAGGTTTTTAATTTTTAATTTTTAATTTGATTGAGTCTATATAAGAATTAAGATAGACCCGGATAGTGTTCTTGCTTTAGTGCTAACGTAAGACCTTTACAAGAATGACAACCAGCTCTGTTGTTGTCCATCATATGATGGGCGAAAGCTCAGCACGTTTTCACCCGGAACGAGGGAGGAAGTCTCGTGCACTTGGTCAACATGAATATCGTATAAAAACCAAACGGCTGCAGTACAACGAGTTTCATTCATCCTTATCTCGTGAGATCAACAGATGAATCTCTTCTTCATGCACTTTCATTTGAAACGAAGGTCTCCCTAACAATAAGTGATACATCTGTATAGGAAAGCGCAACGCGACAGGTCAGGAGAGATACCACGACACTTTAGCAGACAATTGGTTAAAGGATCGACTCTACTTATATTTTTAACGAGCTTTAGTGTGGTGCTAAGTATCGAACGATTTACTGACAGAATATACCAAATCCACAGTAAATACTGGAAATTATTATACATGCTATGGGCTCTGGACTAGGAGTGCTCCTCTAGGCCACTCTGAAAATACGATCAAGTTATGGAAGCAAGTTTAAGTCGAATTTATCCATGGAACGAATATTACAATAATTCTAAATTTCATACCATCTTTGTGTTCATACCGAGTAAAATATGTTATTCAGTAGAAAACATAAATATAATAAAATCATTACTGAATAAAATAAGACTATTTTTAACTTTTTTAAAAACTAATAGTTTAACCTTTATAAAGAATTAATAGTTAATATGTAGAAAATATATATTTATTATTTTGTTTAACTCGTTTGATTAATTGTTGCTATTGCATAGCGTACAGTTAGGATTTTTGCCCCCGGATGCTCTGTGTCATTTTATTAAATGGGTTTTGAAAGCAGCTTAATGTCCCAATTTGCTGAGCATATTGATAAGGAAAGCCTTTTAAAGCGTGGCGAATGTTTATCGAGCAAGAGGAATTGCTTCTACGATAAAGAAAAAAAGCACATTTTTGGCAGAAGTATCTTGGATATATGTAATTAAAAGTTTTAAAGACATATGTAAAAAGTTTATCTTTTTTTGTTTTATCTTGTCTTTTATGCGGTTTTATTTGCGATGATGACAGGAATGCTTATTTTTATTACGCAACTAATATACAGTGATGATGAGCCATATCGTACGGGCTTGCAATCGCCACTCAATTTAACTCCAGGTTTGAACTATTTTATTATTTATATTTTGAATATATAAATGTATTCCTATCTTTTTTATAGCATTAAGTGGAAGGCCAAGAATGAACTTTATGTCCGCCTTGATAGCGTACACTTCATCAGATCCTCAATCTTATATGCCCTATGTAATAAACATAAGGACGTTTGTATACTTTTACGAAGAAATAAAAATAATCCCTGAAAGAGGATTTGCAACCTGTTTGACTACTAAATCACCTGATGATCCAAATCTTGTGTGCAAATTTTACCCTCAATCTCTTGGCCCATGCGTAAAGGAAAATAACTTTGGATATGATAGGAGTCAACCTTGTGTAATAATGAAAATAAATAAACTTTATGGTTGGGTACCAGATATTATAAATTTCACAATGTCTCCTCATCCTCTAGTACATTGTATTGGCCAGGTAAGATTTACTTCCATTTTTAGTTTTATGTGTTTATGCAATTTTAACAGTAAAAGCTTGTATAATGAAGAGAGATTTAGGCAGGATCATTCTGGGATTATTTTTGGCTTTTATGCAATCTATTCTCCCTCTATATACCTACATACACACACATATATATATAAGGATTAATTAAATTTGGTAATTAAACTTTCAGAATCCACAAGATGCAGAATTCTTTGGCACAGTCCATTATTATCCTAATGTCACCATTGACGGAAAAACATAGTAAGTATATTCTTTTATAAATTATGACAGAATGATTATTCTTCTGCTAATTCATATTTATCACTCCAAATGTTATGTTTTATATATTTCATTACCAAATTCTGTTGAAAATATGAATATAATCTATAGATTCTTTGCTAAAAATATTGTTAATTCGAAGATTAACTGGATTTCGGTGAATCTCCTTAGATAACATTGTTGGGGGATTTTTAATATTGTATAAAAATGCATGAAGAAGAGATTTGTGGGTTGATCTCAGCATAAGAGGATAGCTGAATCCCGTTGTACTGCAGCCGTTTGGCTTTTATATGAAGATCATGTTGACGCAGTCCACGAGATATCCTCTCTCGTTTCGGGTGAAAAACGGACTAAGCTTTCGTCCATTATATGATAGATATCATCAGAGATGGAATTCATTCCTGTAGAAGTTTAAGATTAATGCCAGGCAAAAAGACTATCCGGCTCGAGCAGCTATTCAAGCTTTGGTACACACTATGGAGGGGCATCCAGAGATAAGATAAGGAATAAGTCGAAGATAGGAAAACCAGGATAGTGTGGCCTTATGTATGGTCATGGTCTCCTTTCGTTGTATAGAAGTTGTTTTCGTAACTTGGTCATATTCGTAGGAAGACCTATAGGAACGCACCTTTTCCCGAGTCCATATTATGCAGGATATAATTTCAAGAGTCGGACCGTGGACGAGGTACAGTCCAAGACGTTTCTCCGGCATCATCAGTGAGCCTTGTCATTCTTAGCGCCACACTACTACTACTATGGACTCCGGGCAAGGTGCGTTCCTCTAGGTCTTTATACCAATATGACTAACTTGCGTAAACAAGGTCAAACAACTTCTATAGGGAATAAGGTTGAGTGTAGCGTCCATAATTTGACTTATTAATCTATCCATGAGTGGCACCTATTTTACCTTTGAGAGTAAGCTATACTTACAAATACAAGGACTAGCGATGGGATCTTGCCCGGCTCCCATCTTGGCGAACAAATATGTGGCAATACTGGAGGAACACTTCTTGCAAGAGGCAATACTAACTACTAAATTCTTGATTATATACATATATTTATATATGGACGACTATTTTATCATTTAGACTCATGATAAAGAAAGTTTAGACAGTTTCTTACTTTCATTTAACCAACGTAAGAGGAACATTAGGTTCTTTTTTGGATGTTCTGATTATTATAGAAGATGATAAGTAAGGAAGAATTGTATGTAGGAAGCCAAAATATTTTGGCTATTTTCTTAATTTTCTTTCCGACTATAGTTACAAAACTAAGGTTGTACTTTTGAAGTCAATGGTTATTAGGAGTATGAGGCTAGCGGATATCAACCATTTGACTGAAGAGTTTGAACGGCTGAAAGCCCTATTCCTGAAGAATACTTATCCTCTGGGCTTATTTAATAATAATTTATACTTAGTGAGGAGTAAATTTTAGACGGATGCTATTTAGTTAGGGATAGACCTTTTATCATGTCCCAATTTTGCCGTCATGCCTTCTTTCTAAGAAGATAGGCGAATTGGTGAGAAAGTGGGAGATAAAAAAGTGTTTAAAGAAGCCCTCACTTTTCTGTTATGCTATATTTTAGAGAGAAATATGACACATTATCGAGATCCGGCTAGTGAGACATGCTGGCCTATTTGACAAAGATTGGGGGAACAGAAAAATACTTGTAAATGAAGCTGGGTCCAACTGTCTGAAGTGGCTGAAAATATGGCAATGACTGGTCTCAAACTCGTAGGCTTTCATATTATGGTACGTCTGTTGTTAAAAGGAAGATAAGAGAGGCTAATGAAATAAATGGATTATGGAATACGTTGAATGTGAGGAGTGGTGGTATAAATTTGTGTATGAATTTCTTATGTTTAATTGATAGATTGAAGGAGAAATAGAGTGTTGAGCCGTCATCCAAGAAAAGGAGACTCAACTTGTCTGCTCAGTGATGGTTGTAACTTCATTTACACTCGTCCAACATGCTAGATTAAGCTCTTCATCCAAACGAGGTGTACGAGATTACGCAGTCCCAGATATACCTTTCCT